TTTCAGAAAGTGCCCAACAGTACTCCTTCTACTTGCGTGACAAGCTTTCGTTGTTGTTTTCATTGAGGTATTCCCTACAAACAATTTGAACTGATTAAAGGCTGAATAAGCCATTTTTTAGCTGAAGACGCATATTTTTGCTTGAATAAGCTCTTATGCTGCTTCCAATGTTTGTTAGGTTACTCAGGGAACAATGTTAAACACCATTTTTGTCCATGGTATTGCAACTAATCTTATATGTGCTTCATTTTGATTTGGGATAAGTGTTTGAACTATGGCTCGGGTTTTCCACTGTGGCGTGCTTCTATTGTTACATAACCATACGTATTTTTGTGGTGCGACATAGTGGAAACGTGTGAGCGTAGTTGAAGCATATACCCTATATAATTTAAAAATCAGCTAGGAAACTAATTTCAAAGTGAAGCATTTTAGTCACTTGAAGGTGTCACCTGGGACGAACTAATATATATTAAATATAGGTCAAAGTCGAAAACAACTTGAAACACGTTAAATTTTACATTACATTCACAAGTGCAGGTACTTAATAAAACATGGTAGGTAGATTAGAGATTTCAATTATTTATTAAATTAGACTAGAGATATCATAATCATCAAACGAACTTAAATAAGAAAATTTAGACAGCCTAGTAGCATTAAGTGGATTAACAGAAGAGTTAGGATGCGGAGGGTCCGCTTAGGGAGGCAACTAGCCTTTAAAGCAACTGGCAACTAGCATTTTCATGTATTGTCTGTTTATTTTGATTATTGCTTTAAAATATCAATTTGGTGTATAAAGGGTGTCCACGATGAAATTGCCACACTATGAAATTGCTCTAACTTTTTAACCGTTGGGTAGAATTTAATGAAAATTTGGGTGGATTTAGTTCATAGTGCATTATTTACATCCTGCAAAGTCCTGTGATCAAAACTCGCGGAAATGGAGTCGAAAGAACATGCGCATTCATCACGAGAACAAGGATCTCTCGCATCGTTCCATCGCTAAAACGTTGGGAATTGCGAATTCCACGGTGTCGCGAGTGATTAGGCGGTTCGAGGAACGGTTGACCACCGATCGGAAGCCCAGAAGTGAAGGAAAAAGTATTCCGTACAACACCAAAAATCACAACCGCGTAGTTGGGGCCTTCAACCGAAATCCGAACGCCTCCGTTAGGGATGTGGCTAAGAAGCTGCACCTAAGCCAAAGTTTTGTCCAGAAGGCCAAAACTAAGGCTGGGCTTCGAACGTTCAAGGTACAAAAGGCCCCTAATCGCGACGAGAAGCAGAACAAGTCCGCCAAAACCCGTGCCAGGAAGTTGTACCTCAACATGCTGACGAAAGTTGAATGCTGCATCATGGACGACGAAACATATGTGAAGGCCGACTTCAAACAGATCCCCGGCAACCTGTTTTTCACGGCCAAGGATAAGTTCAGCGTTCCGGAGCATGTCCGCACTCAGAAGATGTCCAAATTTGCGAAGAAATTCCTGGTTTGGCAAGCCATCTGCACGTGCGGGAAGCGGAGTGCACCTTTCGTGACCCAGGACACGATGAACGGACAGGTGTACATAAAAGAGTGCCTCCAGAAGCGGCTGCTTCCTCTCCTGAAGGCCCACAACGTCCCAACAATCTTCTGGCCGGATATGACCTCATGCCACTACTCCAAGGACGTGCTGAAGTGGTATGCGGACAATAAGGTCAATTTCGTGCCGAAAATGTTCAACCCTCCCAACACTCCGGAGCTCCGCCCCATCGAGAAGTACTGGGCGATTATGAAGCAGCACCTTCTTAAATGACCTAAGGTAGTGAAGACAGTCGAGGAACTGAAGAAAGTATGGGTTTACATGCAAAAAACGGTTGATTCACAGGTTGTGCAGAATCTTATGGCCGGGGTTAAGGCCAAGGTGCGGGCATTTGCGTATGGCCTGTAAATAAAATACGAGTAAAATGGTAAAATGAAGTTTAATAGTTATTTCTCAATCCCTGAAAATTTGATGGCAATCGGATGAAAACTCGAATTTTGCGAATCAATTTTGTGTGTGGCAATTTCATCGTGGACACCCTTTATGTGAAAGGATGAATTAGTGGGAGCTGGATTTTCGGTTTCTTTACATTTAGCATCACTATGTGTCATTTCCTCAAAACCCCCCAATAACCGGCCTCTTCAATCCCTTCCTTTTCCCATGGCGTTCAAGTGGTCCGCATAGACTATTCAGCCATTACCCGTCCTTTATCCTCGGCTTTGGATTGACTTGCACTCCCATTGCCCCACCAACGCTGCAAAATTAAAATGAAAATTTGACTAAGACTTAAGACCTTGATGCATTTTAGAAAAAAAAAATCAAAGTAAATTGATCCTTAAGGCTGGACTAAGATTTTCTTTTAATAATGGTGGTGAAACATTTGCAATGGTTGGAATTCCAGACTAGAAATATCAGGAGTCAGGAAAATATCGAAGATTCCGAAAAAACTTTATTACTGATGTCAAATCTAACAAAAATTTCAAAATTACAAAATTCGGTGCGGTGCTGTGGAGCTCAACAAAAATATAAATTGTATTTATATTATTGTGAGACTTTGATATATGAATTTGAGAAAAACCGCACAAAATCTCAGAGTATGAAGTAAGTTCAAGATTTTGGAAAATCGGATTTATGGATATTGGATTTAAAAAAAAAAACATACATATTATCTAAGAAATATCCCAAGTAACAATTATAGCTGACGAGGAAGAACCTGATTATTGGTTGATTTAAGGTCTACAAAGCTGATTAACAGCAGGCTGAATATATAGTTGATTAGTAGTGCATAAAGCTAATTGTATCCCCATAATTCAACCTCAATAAGTTAGCTGATCTAAAGATTGAGTAAGCCTTATTTGAGTTTAACACTACTCCACAAATCAGCAATGCACTACAAATATTTTGATAGCCTGATTTGTTAAATGTAGTCGGTGTCACTCGTTGCATTTCCTGCATTTTTGTTCTTCTAAATTCACTGCCTATCTTTCTAATCCCAAGCAGCGGCAGCAGTAGAGATAAGGTAGATGAGCTTTTTAGGAATAGCTACCGGTAGAAGTGGGCTGCGATGACGCCGGAAGTATTAAAATTTGTATTTCTGTACTGAATTTTCAGACAGAATTCCAAAAATATAACTCTATTATGGCACTAAAATAGCTTCCACATGACTATCGAAATAAATCGCTTGTCCACATTGTGTTAACTACACTTGAAAATGAGAGAAACAGTACTGGTAAAACATACTGTTACCAGATGTTATTTACAATTCTGAATTCTGCATTGCTGTATAATACTCTTCCGGGTGCTGTTATTCAACTTAAATTCGACGTATTTCAAGTTAATGATCATACCTTTTTCCACACATATGCTTAAGTGGTCCAGTAGGTATAATTTATGTCTGTGAATCAGCGACTGCCGGTTCGAATCTCGAAATGAAAAGGTAATTTTTAGACTTATAATAACAATATAAATATGTAAATCCAATTAGTCAGCACTTTGTTGCAGTCCCATAAAAATATACAAGATATGAAGCGGTCTTCTATTATTATTTTTTTTCGAAATAAAACTAGAAGGCTGGACAAGGGTTGGGAAATACTGTTATTTAATTAATTAAAAAGCTTATAATTTATTGAACTGTTAACTGAATAAAATCACCAGATTTAGATGTTTAAAGGCTGAACAAAGGTTAACGTGGTCTATGTACAACAATTATTCAAACTAAGGCTGAATCAAAATCGATTGAACAACACTTGTTAAGCATTAAATTGTTACCTGGGCTACTACTTATATTTTTTTAGATCACAGAGTACAATAAATTTTCAAGATTAAAGTCTAATGAGACTAGCCTAGAGCAACCCAAAACACATTTTTTGGTGAATTTTGTAATTTGTGAGTGATTTTTTGATAAAGTAAATCTCTGATGGAGCCGTATTTAGAATTTGTAAACAAAAATATAGCTACGAAAGGATTAAATACTTAGTTAGAGCGCTTCCTTGTAAATTGTGAATAGTTTCTCATTGAAAAACGTCACACAATGTTTAATCCATTATTAGTAAATTTGTTAGTCATCTCCACACAATGCAATGAGGGGCAAGTCTGCATATGAATCACTCTACCCTCGAAACCAGATTTTCCTAATCTGCAGACTCATCTTCAATCCAAAGGTCAAATAATTTTTGGCGATCTTCACCGCGCTCTGATCCATCTACAACACAAAATAAAACAAGCTCTTCATCAAATTGCAACACGTGCACTACTATCTCGATAGATGAACTGATCCTCGCAGACGCTGAATAGCAACTCGTAAAACCACTTCGATAATCTAATTACCTACCTACCCAAAGCAGCTCGGTAAAAAGCTCAATTTGCTCGGTGGTGATACGATAGAGATATCTTGAAGCTTTGGAGGAAATTTTCTCGCTTTGAGCAGGAGCGAGAATGGAGAAGGAAACTTTCGTGAGAGAAGTTTGAGAGCGTCTGCACGTGGGTTACCAACCGTCGTCGTCTTATTACCGATAGAGAAGGTATGATCGCTTCTAGGTACTGCGGAGGCGTCGGTGTTGGTGGGTAGCCAAGCACAGCTAAAAGTAGCAATTTTCCAACGAAGCTGGTAAAAACAACACGAACTAATAACCAGTATCGATCGGTGCAGGGGCGAGTGAAGAAGTATGAACGCGCGGCAATCTTCAGCGTAACGTTGTTGTGCGACGAGGTGGAAACGATCGGTGCTTGTTTTTTATTTTCCAAGGTGAATTGTTCGGGAAGAGCGAGTGTATCCTTCTGAGAGTGTGCCCGAGAATCCTGGAGTCCCCCACTCTCTTTGCGCGTTTTTCTCGGAGTTCTGACGGTGAGAGTGATCTCGGATTCTCGTCGGTGAGCGCTCTCAGCAGCGCGCGCGAGGCTTTGTTCCTGTGAATGTGTCACCTATTTCTTGCTTCTCACAAGCGCGCGCGAATGGATGCTGTGTGATGGGAGAAAATCTCCGTAGGCAAGATTTGCTCTCCTGAAGCTGCCGGGCGCGCGTGATCGTACATTCCCTGCCTCCTAGACTTTATATATTGATGTGATCGGCGGCGGAGGACTTCAATCTAGTGCGATCTGTAGTTTAGGACCGTTGAGTTCTTTTTTGAGAAGAACAGGGAAACTGGTGCTTGCGTCCTCCTGGAGAGTGGAACGAAAAGTAGCCATCGGTGTTTTACTTGCAAAAAAGTTTCAAACGGTGCATTTTCAGTCAAAGCAACATGTGTTCAAGCCAGGAATTGTAAAATAATTTCAATCGATAAATCCTGGGTGATCAGTGTGTTAAGAAATCAGTGTCAGTGTAAAGCGCAAGTGATTACTGCAATTGAAAGCGACAAATAGTACCTAACATTGAAACAATCGATAAAAGAGAAGAAGTACATAATTACTTATACACCATGACGCCAAAGCCCCAGGAGAGTATCCCAGTGGTGCACGCTGGAGAAGAACAAGACATGCCTGGATCGTTGAACAATGCTAGCAGCTTGGGAAACCTGAACCACAACCTCAAACTGAACGGGTTCATCAACAATGGTTTCGTGTCGGACTGTCCGGCGCAATCCGACAGCAAAAATGACCAGCAAACAAAGGAACTAGAGCTGAAGGATAAGAAGAATGCCAAGAACACAGGCTCGAACTCTGGTGGCGGTGCACCGACGGGTGTCCAGGAGAAACCAATCGTTGACTTTGACGATCTTCTGCCGCACGTAGGTGAATTTGGACGCTACCAGAAGATCCTCTTTCTGCTCATGATCCCGTTCGCGTTCTTTGTGGCATTTGTGTACTTTTCGCAAATCTTCATCACGATCGTGCCCGAAGAGCACTGGTGCTGGGTTCCCGAGCTAGAACACTTGTCCGTGGAAGAAAGGTGAGTCCGACTACTTATTGAACAAGCGCAACCTTACAAGTATTAGCGTACCAGCCAGTTCGAATCATACGTACATATCTATTCATATCGGTAGTAGTTGTAACATCCGCAGCAACCATCAAGCCTTCGGCGATGGATGGCTGCACACTGGCTTTTTGAAAATGTTAGTAGCTAAGAAGTTGTTGTTGAACGTGCGAATCGGCAGCCCAACAAGCTCACAAAGCACATTTTCGTCGTGTGTTTAACGGATTTCGATCGGTCCATAGAATTGCCACTTTTGATTGTGCTACAACACACGTCCAAAAACAATGAAAAATGAGTATAGGAAGGCGTTCGGTGGAGCTATCTAGGAAAAGTATTATTTTCAAGGTTCTGTTTTCGGCTGATTTTTTTGTTCGGACATGTGGGTTGTATCGGTGGCGCAAAATTGGTTGATGGCTTGGAATGATTTCAAATGTTTGGGTTAAGGTTTTTTTTATAATTAATTAAAGTCTTCTCTTGCGATGTACGGATATTGTGGAGCAATGACCGTTTTTTATAGTGACAAAAATGATGAAAAGTGATTGGATTGCTGTGCTATTTGAAACTGCATGCTTTCAGAGGATACAAAATCCAAAAATTGTTTAAATTTGGTGTGAAAATTTCATTTGTACCACAATGGTGCTAATCAGATGATGTTGCCAATAACGAATAATCTGAAATCATGTGTGAAGCGTTCCTCGCATCTCATAAATCCTGTTTTTTTCTTCAAGTTTGAAATTACTTGACGGTTGTTTTAACTCAAATTTTGTTTTAAGATTTAATTTATAAAAAAAATAACATATCGCAATTTAATGACTACAAGGACTTTTTCAAAATTGGTAAAACTTATCTTATTTTTTCACTGAGTTTCGATTTTTTGTCATAACTTTGGTATATTACTTTTCCTATCCCGTTCACAATACAGTCGTGTATTAAGCAGTTCCACGCCAAATGACGAATTGATCAGACTCGTCCTCCGATTTGCATGAATGTTTTCATAAATGTTTGCTATTGGCAATCAAATCATTAAAATTTCTTCTAAAATTCGGCCATTTTGAATCTTGCATTTTTTTTCCAGAATAGCCTATTTGAAATTTTTCAATAAATCGTAGCATGGAAACGTCACTTCAAATTGAAATGACGGCTGATAGCCTTACGGAAAAGTATTTTTTTATAGGAAAAATATACACAGTTTTCTTTATTTAATTTTGAAAAATAATAATAATAATCAAACAAAAGTGTAAAAAACTTAAGTAACAAAAATGCCTTTGCTCAAAATTTTTGATTTTTTTTAAAGCTTATAAAAATTGCAAACTTTTCAAATATTGAAAACCTTAGACACTTAAAACTTACGAAAATCGTTCAACAACTTTTGGTTAAATTTTTGATCTTCTTTTCTTCAAAAATCGTTTTCTGTGCAAAAATTACAAAAAAAGCATACAAGTTAAGAAATTTGACCAATCGTTGTTGTTCTACGATTTTTGTTAATTTTTAAGTGTCCCTGGTTTTCAATAATTCGATTTTTATGATTAACCGTAAATGGGTTCTTGCACCATTTTTTGAATTAATGTGGATAAAAAGGGCCAAATTCGGGATTATTCTTAAATTATGGTCTCTTCAATATCGAGTTATGGAGAGTTGACTGTATTTGTTTTTTTTTAGATTAATTTATTTGTACAGACTCAATCGAATAAACTTTACAGAGTCAAGTTATCATTCGCGTTATCATCAGTTACAAGAATTGAACTGAATACTCGCGGTTGTCTCGAGATTAGTGGAGATTTACAATTTTATGTATGGAGAGAAGGAGATGGAGATTTGAAATATGATTTACTATACAAATATTTCACTATTGCTAAAACATGAACTCATTCTTATCCAACTTTATACCAACAGTGTAATTATACAATTATTACAAAACAAAAATTAAAAAAAAAACTCACGCACACTAAATACAAGCTAAACACAAAGTTAATCAATATTGTTCAAGAAAACATATATGAGTTTCATAAACACCAAATCGTGCCCAACCAAAATATCCCGGACTGGAACATTAGGTTGTCTACCTCGAGCCCGAAGAGAATCGTACAGCTCAGAGTTGACTTTATTGTAATAGCTAACAGTCTTGGAAGTCTTTGATAAATCATTTAAAACATTTGTAATTTTATTGAATTACAGATGAATCTCGATTTTGGCAACGTGGTATTCGTTTTCGACAACACAAAAATTTTAATTTTCTGATTTTATTCAAAAAGTATGCTTCATTTCAAAAGGTCGCTAGGGAGCATTTTTAAATTAACTAACGTCTAACGCTAACGCCTTTCTTCAGAGAAGGGTATACCGATGGAAAACCGACTTTCGATCCCAGGCCCAAGTGTCATATACCATTCGACTCAGATCGACGAGATCGGAAAATATCTGTGTGTGTGAGTGTGTACGTTGGTGTGCGTGTGTAACACAATATTGTGACTCGTTAGAATCGGTTTACTGGATCCGAAGATATGGCCGGAACATGTTCATACATTGTATGGGCCATGAGAATAAATCCAATCTTAAACGAATACAACCCATCTTGTGACACATCAAATTACATGAGAATTTAAAAAAAAAATAGTTCAATGGTAGTTATTGGAAGTGCCCAGGACCACGTTGGTTATATTCTAGGTACACCCGAGGATGTGGCCAATTTCTGACTAGGCTCAAAATCTGTCATGTGATACCTTAAACCTTACCTGTCATGTGATACATGAGAATTCAAAAACCACTTCAATGAAAGAAATTTGAAGTACAAAGAACCACAGTGGCCACATTCAGGCATGCTCCGGGAAAGCCAGAAGGAAGTGGCCAGTTTCTGACTAGGCTCAAAATCCATCATGCGATACATTGTATCACATGAGAATTCAAAAACCAGTTCAATAAAAGACATTTGGAATGCCCAGGATCATACTGGACACATCTGGTTATATTCCGGGTACCCCCGGGGAAGTGGCCAGTTTCTGACTTTGGTCAAAATCGATCATGCGATTGAGATACACATGGAAATTGATAAACTAGTTCAATGGTAGTCATTTGGAGTGCTCAGGTTCACACTGGCCACATCTGGACATGTTCTGGGTATCGCTAGCGAAGTGACCAGTTTTTATTAGTAAGAAAGGTCAGATCTCACCATATGTGGATAAATTTATGTTTTTTTTAGCACAAATCGAAAAAAATCTATTCGATTTAACAGAACAGAAATTAAAATTTCCTGTAAATATTTAAAGTAGCGTTTTTTCAAAAGTTTTTCTCAAGAATTCACTTGGTAGCATTAAGCCATTTAACACTCAATTGTGACACGTCTAAAAAGGTCTCGATTTTGGTAAAATTGATGAAGCAATGTTGTCAAAATCGATATGTCGCTGTATTTGATTATCAACAATGACTTTTCGAATTCTTCATAAACATAATTGTCAATTGACTACCTATTTTACACCTTGAATTAATAAGTCTCAGCTCAGATGATGCTAAGGTCATTACATAGATTTTTTCTTTATTCAATTTTGTACTACTATTTTTTTCTTTTGTATAATTGTTTGTTATTGGCAATCATTCAGATTTGTGCTGAATTTCGGTCATTTTGAATCCTGAAATTCTAGATCAACAATTCAAAAGGCCTCAGCTCTATTTTGTAAGCAAACCCCGTGAGGCCATTTTCTCGCGAACCGAAACCTACATTCGCAAACATAAAACACAATCGGGTAGAAAAGAATTTTCCCTACCTGTTCATTTTGTTGGTTTGCGTTGGTGGACTTAGGTTCACTACAAAATAGCCTTACAAGGTTTGTTTACAAAATGGAGTATTCGACATTTTTCAATAAATCGTAGCACGGAAACGTCATTTCTAATTGAAATAGCGGCTACGACAAAGTATAGGGAAAATATTCACATTTTTTTAAGTAATTTTGAGCAAAAATTAAAAGAAACTTAAAAACTTAAGTTTAAAAAAAAATGTCCTTGTTCAATATTTTTGAGTTTATTTAATTTTTTTAGCTTAACTCAATGGTGTTGACGATTTTATTTTACCATTGTTTTAAGGCATTTTGGATGGTCAAATTACACTAGTTTACAGCATTTTTGAACACTGTAAGGTGATGATCATTTCCAATGCAAAATTCAACGCTGAATTCAATGCCGTGGTCAGAAAAAATTAAAGTAGAGCCATTTTTGAGATATACAAAAATTTTGATTTTTTGAATTTTGGACAAAAGTACGATTACTAAAATGTCAATATCTTTGGAACTAGTGCACCAATTTTAAATATTTTTTTATGAAAATGAAGCTAAATAAATTTGCTATCGTTCACTAGAATATTATGTCTTAATTAAAAATTTAATTTTGAAGTCATTTAAAAATTTACAGCATTTTTTTTATTTTTCCTGCGAATTTTCCATAAAAATCTTGTTTTAATCAACATTTTTAATGGGATAAAAAGATTCAAAAAATCATTCCATAATTTATTCTTAAAGTCCATTCAAAACCGGAGAAAATGAGCCTTTAATGGATGAAATCGGTTGGAAATTGTCGAAGTTATGAGCATTTTTGTAAAACACTTAAAAATGTTGCTGAAATACAACAGCTTTAGAGTTCCTTTTCTAGGTGTCGTTGTAAGCATCCAAATCGCATGTAAAGTTTTCATGGGAGATTCTTTTCTCTACATATCAATTTGATTAAGGCATATCAGGATTTAAAACCGAGTTGATACAAAAGAAATTTATTAAGGTTTTATTAAAAATGATTGAGAATCGAATGACTTTGTCTTCGATGTTTTGAACTTGTTTCTCGAATCAGAAACCAACAATAGTCACCCATCATTGCTTCATCCCAAAACCCTTGGTAACGACGTTCCATCATCTTCATTTGTTGGTGAAAACGTTCGCCGTGCTCATCACTCTCGTCACCAAGATTTTCCGGGAAAAAATCCATGTGAGAATGTAGGAAAT